AAGAACCATTCAGTACCCAAGGGTCCAACTATAGTCCCAAGTTACTTTTCACCTATACCCTTTAGTTCTGTGAGTTTTCAAAACAAAGGGGTGTACTTAGTAACTTTTTTGCAAATAGTGTGTCTAAACCTGGAAGTCTGACCATTAATTTTCACAATTATAGATTCGAACTATAACTTGTTCTGTGCTTACCTCATATTTCAACCCATCCGCCCAAATATACGTCCCTTGTCCGTGCATGAGTCCTTCTGAAAACATACCCTGAGAAAAAAAAGACAACACAAAATATCAAATAGCCCTTAGAACGCAGTTGTTTATTTTATACCCCACATTTCAGTTCCTAGGTTGGTGGTGTGCTATGGAGTCAGTTCCGACTCATATTGCCCCTGTAGAGAGTTTCCAAAGAGTGGTTGGTAAATTTAAACCCCCAACCTTGTGGTTCAAACCAACCTTGTGGTCCAGTGCCTGCATTAACCCACAGCTCCACCAGGACTCCTAAAACCTACTTAGTACTATTTTTCTCTTATTCCTTAACAGTCAATGAAGCAGAAGAAAAAATAAATAAAACCTGTAAGAGTCAAATTCTAGCTAAGACTTCCTCTCCTAAATTAAACTATGGGAAGGCTTGATACTTTTAAAAGAATTGAAATACTTTGGGGTTCACATTTCAACCTCAAGGATTTAAATTTCTTAAAATTTAAATTAGATGTTGTTAAGTGTCATAGAGTCGGTTCCAACTCATAGCGACCTTATTTATGCACAAAACACTGCCCAGTCCTGAGTCATCCCCACAATCATTGTTACGCTTGAGTCCATCGCTGCAGTCACTGTACCGATCGATCTTGTTGGTGGTCTTCCTCTCTTTCACTGACCCTCTCCTTTACCAAGCATTATGTCCTTCTCCAGGGACTGGTCCCTCCTGATAACATGTCTGAAGCATTGAGAGATGAAGTCTCCCCATCCTGACTTCTAAGGGAGCATTCTGGCTGTACTTCTTCCAACATAGATTTGTTAGTTCTTCTGGCAGTCCATGGTACTTTAAATATTCTCCTCCAACACCATAACTCAAATGCTTCAACTATCTATGGTCTTCTTATTCACTGTCCAACTTTCATATGCATATGAGGGTATTAAAAATACCATGGCTTGGGTCAGGCGCACCTTAGTCCTCAAACTGACATCTTTGCTCTTGAACATTTTAAAGAGGTCTTATGCAGCAGATCTACCTAATGCAATCCGTCGTTCGATGTCTTAGGGGCCACTTCTTGACTGTTGATAATGGATCCAAGCAAAAGGAAGTCTTTGTTATTGAAAATGTGCACAACAGGACCTACGGCAATTCAACGATGTCTACCTGTACAGCTCGGTGATATGGAACCTGTCTTACCTTCCCTTCCCAAGCTGGCCCTTCCCCACTGACATACACCCACCTGCCCCCTAAGGTTCCTCTCTAACCTCTCCAGTTACGGTTCTCACTTTGATCCCATACAGACAATTCTTACATGAGTACAATGCTCGAAGAAAACATTCTCTACTAGTTAAGTTCAACTACTGTTTGGTTTTGAAACTTCAGTGGATGTCTTTGGTTTAGGATCTAAAGATTATATTTGGTGGAGGGGCGGTTCATGCAGCCTCAATGGATCCAGGAAGTCTGGATCCATTGAAATGCTCTTCTATAGTTTCCCCCTTTTGATCAGGATTCTGCTATAAAACCTGTGATCAAATATTTAGTCAAGGAAACCAGGCACCCTCCAGTTCTGGTCTCATGGCAAAGGGGCAGTGAGGCAATGAGCCCCATATTCCTTTTCTTCTTCTTATCCTGTCTGTCCTTCTTCCTCTGCTCCAGGCATCTTAACAGAAGCAGACCACCAGTACTTTCTTTCACAGTGTCACTGGGTGGGTTGAAACTTCTGGTTCATCAGTGAGTGTACACCGTTTCTGCTACCCAGTAGCCTTGGTCACTCCTGAGGACACTCGGATGCATGAAGTACTTCGAATGTCATAGGAAAAGCCAAATAATGTGTGGGACATCATGAATATTCATGAGTTTCTTAATGAATGTTATTTTCCACTCTTATTAATATTCAATGAATATCCATTTTTAATGCCTATTATTTCCATGAATATGATTCATGATAATGAACAGTTAATATTAATGAATATTATTCAGCATTTTCATCAATGTTGTTCAGCTATTATAATTAGAGTTTTTATGGTGCAAGAAAATGAGTTATGTTGAATGCTAAGGGGGAAAAAAAATCAGGGTACTGAAGCACATGCAGTATGACCACAACTATAAAATCTTGTTCTCCCATAGTAAACACATATTTCTTTGATAATCAGAATGAATTAATGGATAAAATCTCCACTGAGGCATTATTAATGAGGCAAACACGTATGTAATAATGGTGGATCAGTTATGAATTACAAATTAAAACCCTATGCAAAAAACAAAAACAAAACCCTATGCAGTGTTAAAAACAACAATCATGAAAAACCAGACGGCCATACAGAGTTATTACTCATGAAGTAAAAAAGATTCAAAATGTCATCTTCAAAACGAGCACACGTTATGTAAAAATGCTGATCCAAGGCAGACAAGGCCCACAGTCCAACAAAAACGTTTACAACAACGATACTGGGGTTTTATTTTCATCTTCATCCCTTCCTTACATGAGCTTAATGTGGTTTGTATGGTACATAAAACCAGGAAAAGAACATTATACAATGACTCCCGCTGACCCTGTATGTGTCAGAGCAGAAGCGGGGTCTGTCAGGTCTTCAAACTTTCCAAAGAAGACTCAGGCTTTCTTTGAAGGCACCCCTGAGCGGCTTTAAGCCGCCAATCTCTCAGTTAGTAGTTCAGTGCTTAACCCATTCACACCACTAGGGATGTCTACTCCAGTTATACTGAATCATATTTCTACCTTCAGTACCGAGTAGTCAAGGAGCCCTGGTGGCATTGTGAGTTAAGCATTGTCTGTGAACCACAAGATGTGTGGTCTGAACCTACCAGCTGCTCCAAGGGAGAAAGCTGTATCAGTCTGTTCCCATAAAGATGTGTTTGGAAATCCCATGGGGCAGTTCTGCTCTGTACTCTAAGGTTGCTAGACGTTGGAATTGACTCCACAGCATGGTTAAGGATCAAAATAAAACCAACACAAAGTAACTCCAGTCTCTTTAGTTGCTGGAAGATGCAAGTCCAAAAACTCTCACCCGGACCCCCCTGCCCCACCCTGCCAGTTTCCCAAATATAAAACTCACGTGGTAGACACAACCTCCCTGAAAGACAGCGAAGCCTTTGCCCTCATACAGCCCACGGACCTTCTCCCCTTCGTAGCTACAAAGAGACAAAAAGTGAGCTCATGAATGATGCAAGCAAGGAATCCGCACAGACGGAGGGTTCAGGCAGAATTGGCATCACTGAGGGCGTACACACATGTGATTTCACACATTCATTTATTCACTCAACAAACATCTCCCAGTGTCACCAGGGGCTTGTCCTCCTCTAAGTACTGGGGGCAGAACTGTGGACAAGCCTGGGGCATTTCTAACCTCAGGAGCTTCCCATCCGTGGAGGAAAGACAGACAATACACAAGGAAGCAAATGAAAAAGACTGCCAGATTCTTTTCAGTTTTTGTGGAAGACCAGGTCCGGGGAATGGGTGTACTGGGGAAATGAGGAAGTGGGTACTATGTGCAGATGGTTAGAGTGAAGGCCTTTGCTGTGGGATGAATTTTATTCCGTCCCTCATCCCCCCAAATAAGCGTCAGCTTGGCTGGGCCATGATTCTCAGTGACTTGGGAGTGAAGTAATGAAGTAGTCATTCCTGATGATGTGATCTGATGTGATCAGTCAGTGGGTAAGTAAGTGCAAACCCCTTACTCAAGTCACAGCTTTGATCAAATGTAAGGGGAGTTTTCCTGGGGCAGGTGTGGCCTGCAGCACCTTCTATCCTACAGAAGGTAAAAGGAGAGGCAGCATTGATCTAAGAACAAAGTTCAAAAGGGTGAGCAAAGGAGGAAAGCAAATGGGACACACAGGGAGGAAGTGTGATAAGTGAGGTTACACTGGAGAGACTGAGATCAATGAGATGGAACAAAGTGTATGATTCTGATTCGTTGAATGTAAAACTGATGATCTGCTCTGTAATTGTACACTCAATTCACAATAAAAAGTTTAAATAAAATTTTTTTTTTTAATAGATAAAAGGAGAAACAAGCCGAAAGAGAGAAGGGGACCTATTATCACCAAGAAGGAACCTGGAAGTGGAGCATATCTTTTGGACCTGGAGCCCCTGTACTGAGAACCTTCTAGACCCAGGGGAAGATTGATGCTAAGGTACAGAGAGATCTCCAAAAAATGCTGGGCTCACAGATGTTGAAAGAGAGACAAAGACGTTCTCTGTAAGCTAACAGAAAGAAGAAAAGCTCCCCCTAGATCCCGGTGTTCTGAATTCAGACTTCTATCCTCCTAAACTGTAAGAGAATAAATTTCTGATGGTTAAAGCCACCCACCTGCAATATTTCCATTACAGCAGCCCAAGAGAACTAAGACAGTCTATCTGGAGGTAAGATTTGAACTGAGACTGGAAGGAAACAAACAGCTATGAGAAGAATTCTGGGGAGGCTCGCAGGGAGAGGGGACAGTTCAGCTCACAGAAACAAGAGCAGAGCAGCTGGAGACCACAGGGCGAGGAGTTGGAAGACAAGCCAGGCTGTGTGCACTCTGTGGGCTGAGAGAGACTCAGAATCAAACCCACAGCTCTAGGAGGACCCGGAAGAAGGTTTCCAGAGGTGAGCCAGGCAAGATCAAATTGAGACTGAGGTCTGAAAATGATCGCGCCGGCTTTGGGGAGGAGACAAGGGAGGCAGGTACAGCAGTGGCACGGAGCTCTCTCAATGTCGGATCATGCTGCTGGTAGAGTGGGAGGGGAGAAAAGTGGGCAGTTAGGACATATTCAGCTAAAGGGGGAAAGGAGGGATCAAGAACCAAAAACCAACCAACGGCCAAGGAGTTAACTCCAAGTCATAGTGACCCCAAGTGTGGACTCCGATTTCCAACCTTTCGTGTGCCTTAACCATCTGTACCAACCAGGGACTCCAGGTGAAAACCATGAGTCAATTGTGACTCATGGTGCCCCCATGTGTGACAGAGGAGAACTGCTCCGTAGGGTTTCCGTGACTAATCTTTACGGAAACAGATTACCAGTCCTTTCTCCCACTTGCTGCTGGGTGGGTTCAAACCACTAACCTACAGGTTAGTTGTCTAGGGAAAACTCCTTGTGCCCCCTAGGGACTAGAGCAAGTCCAGTGTTCTGATCCTCAGTTCAAATCTACCACCTCTAAGGTCTGAGGGAGGAGTGTTAATGGCACTGTGTGTTAAGCGTTACGCTGCTAACCACAAGATCAGTGGTTCAAACCTACCAGCTGTTCCACAGCAGAAAGATAAGGCAGTCTGCTCTTGTACAGATCTACCCTGTCCTCCTATATGGTCTTTATGAGTCAGAATCAACTCAGTGGCAGAGGGTTTATGTTTAGGTTTTAGGAACTGAGCCAAATGAGGGGAAAACACAGGATTGCCAGGATCAAACAGCTTATCCCCAAATCACGTAGGAGATGCAACCAGAGAAAAACTTTGAACATAAGTCAATGCATCAGCAAATTAAAGAAGAAAACCTTATGCTTGTACCAAGATGCCAAAAGGTATCAGATACAACACAGCTATCATTTCTAAGAAGCATTAAATTAAAGGCAAGAACAGAAGAGAGGAGAGATTGCCAAGTAAGAACAGACACGCTGAACATAGCAGCAAAGGGAATGTGGAAGTGCAGGGCCCCAGAGCCATGGTGGTGCAGCCCAGGGCCAAACAGCACTGTCCACCAATGTTTACCGCAGTACCAACGGTCACACTGGAAAGGGCCGAAATATCCATCAACTGCTGAAGGGATAAACAAAACGTGGTCCATCCATGCTGGGGACTCTTACTCAGCCATAAAGAAACACAAAGCCCTGATCCACGCCACCACGTGGACGACCCTTCAAAACATCATGCTGGGGGACAACAACATTAGTAAGGAACATTCATCATGGAATGGTCACTCCTTCAAAATCAAAAGGGCAACACTTTCCTCAGGACAAAGTTGAGAAGGGATGGGAAAGTGAATGGAATGGAAAGGAATCACAGGGAGGAAGCCGGATAACTGTTGTTACTTGAAGGGGAATGTAATCACCTAGATGAAACAGTGTGTATGTATGATCTGTTGACTGTAAAACTGATGATCTTGTCTGTAAACCTTCACTCAATTCATAATAACAAGTTAAACAAAAAACATCATGCTGGGCGAAATCAGTCAGTCACAGAAGGGTAACTACTGTACAATCTCCCTTAACAATTCATGATTCGTGTTTATCAGAGGGCGCGGGGGGTTGTGGGAGAGAAGAGGGTATTTTTGTTTAGAGAACACTGAGTTTATGTGAATGGTGATGTAGTTAGGAGTAATTAGGAAAAGATAGTGTGGATGATTGCACATTATGAAGAATATAATCAATGTCACTGAATTTTCTATGTAGGGATTATTGAATTGGTGAATATTTTTACGTGTATATTTTCATCACAATCAAGTAAAAAATT